AGCAGCAAGAAGGGGAGCATAAGAGGAACAAGGGGTATGGGAAGAGGGGAACAGGGGAGGCAGAGCACGAGGAGGATGCGGAGGCGGGTGGTGGAGGAGGAAAAGACGGAAGGAGGGATAGCGGGAGAAAGAGGGGAAGAGGGGGAAGAGGGGAAAGAGGAAAGCGGGGAAGAGGGATAGCGGGAGAAAGAGGTGAAGGAGGAAAAGCCGGAAGGAGGGGAAGAGGGAGAGCGGAAAAGAGGAGGGATCATGAGGATGAGGTCGGCGACGACGCACTCGGCAAGAATGTCAAGCAGTATTCACATGCACATCCTTGAGGTGTCGCGAACTACACACTACGTCGTGCGAACGGAAACACTTGTAGACACTGGTAATCCTCCTACTGCTCTCCCTCCTCGCCCTCCTCCTCCTCCTCCTCCTCCTCCTCCTCCTCCTCCTCCTCCTCCTCCTCCTCCTCCTCCTACGCCTCCTCCTCATCATCATCCGCCGCCTCCTCCTCCTCCTCCTCCTCCTCCTCCTCCTCCTCCTCCTCCTCCTCCTCCCCCTTGGATTCGCCCTTCTCGTCACCCTCCCCACTCCCACTCCTCCAAACTCCTCCGTCTCCTCATCCTCCTCCTTCTCCTCCTTCTCCTCTTCCTCTGCCTCCTCCTCCTCTTCCTCCTCCTCCTCAGCCGTCTCCTCCTCATCCTCCTGCCCTCACCTCCCTCTTCCAAGCTCCTCCTCGAAGCTAAGAATAACGGACTGCTATGGCAGCTGCCTGGAGTCCTCCTCCTCCTTCTCCTCCTCCTTCTCCTCCTCCTCCTCCTCCTCGAACTCCTCCTCCTCCTCCTCGAACTCCTACTCCTCCTCCTCCTCCTCCGCCTCCGCCTCCGCCTCCTCCTCATCCTCCTCCTTATCCGCTTCCTCCGCATCCTGGTCCTCCTTTTCTCATGTTCCTCCTCCTCCTCCTCCGCCTCCTCCTTATCATTATGATTTGTATCAGCATTATGACTACTAATAGTAGTATTCGTTTTGTTCTTCTTAACCGTATTAGTATTGTTAGTGTTATTCGTCGTCTTATTATTCTTCATTTTAATATTAGTATTAGGCTTAGTATTAGTATTCGTCTTCTTATTAGTATTCCTCCTCCTCCTCCTCCTCCTCATCTCATCATCATCATCATCATCATCATCATCATCATCATCATCATCATCATCATCATCATCATCCCTCCTCCTGCTCTTCTCCCCCTCCTCCTCCTCCCTCCTCCTCCTCCTCCTCCTCCACCTCCTCCGCCTCCTCCTCCTCCTCCTCCTCCTCCTCTTCCTCCTCCTCCTCATCCTCCTCCTCTTCCTTCTCCTTCTACATAACTTCTTCCTGCCGCACCCTGGAGCCAAATTGGGGGCGGGCATGGCGTTTCGCCTGGGACTTCCTCACCCGGTATGACCCTGAAGCTTTAAAAAAATAGCAACAGATTCACAAAGTGGGGCCGCCTTAGCGCCGCGCATATTCATTTGAAACCAGGGCAAGAGCTTCACGGATTTAGGGCGGGTGGTCTTCAAAATGTGGCTCTCGCCTTAGCGCCGCGCACATTCGTTTGGAAACCATGGTAAGAGCTTCACGGCTTGAGGGCGGCTCCTTTTCAAAATGTGGCCCTCGCCCAGCGCCGCGCACATGCTTCATACAGAATTGTAAGAGTGCCACGGTTCCCCACGATCGGCGTACCAGAAATTGTGGCTGGAAGGGTGCACGATTCTGGGCTATGTGGGCGCATCAGTTACGATGATTCGCGGTGTTGAAGTTCCAGGGGTGGCGTTCCGGCACGATTAAGGACCGTCAAGGCGCAACAATCAGGTTTGCCCGTGGCGTTGGAATAGGGTCTTCAAACAGTTGTCTTCCAACGAGGCAGGTCCCTGTGGAAATGAAAAGTTGTAGGGGCCTGTGAAGAGGGAGCTTGGGGGAGGCCCATTCCAACATCGTAGAGGAGCGGGGAAGAAATGTTCCTCCCCGCTCCTCCACCTCCTGCTCCTCTTTCCCCTCCTCCTCCTCCTCCTCCTCCTCTTTCTCCTCCTCCTCCTCCTCCTCCTCCTCCTCCTCCTCCACCTCCTCCGCCTCCTCCTCCTCCCCCTCCCCTTCCCCTTCTTCCTCATCCTCCTCCTCCACCTCCTCTTCATCCTCCTCCTCATCACCACCATGAGCAACAACAACATCAGAATCATCATCATCACCACCATCATCATCATCATCATCATCATCATCATCATCATCATCATCATCATCATCATCGTCATGACCATCATCATCATCGTAGTCGTCGTCGTCGTCATCATCATCATCGTCATCCTCATCCTCATCGTCATCATTATCAGCAGTAGCATCATCATGCTCATCATCAACATCGCCACCACCATCACAATACTCAACACCATTAACACAATCGTTGTCATTAACAACAACATCGCCATCAACCTCAACATCAACACGAACATCAACATCATCGTCGTCACCATCATCACCGTCGACATCGTCATCGTCATCCTCGTCGTCAGCATCATCAGCATCAACATCATCATAATCACCACCACCACCACCATCATCATCACCACCACCATCATCATCAGTACCACCACCACAATCATCATCATCATCAGCAGCGTCATCACCATCCGCATCATCATCATCGGCATCGTCATCGTCATCGTCATCATCAGCATCAGCAGCAGCATCAGCATCAGCACAAGCATAATGATCGTCATCGTCAGCAGCATCAGCATCATCAGCATCAGCATCATCAGCATCAACATCATCGCCATCATCATCATCAGCATAATCACCATCATCAGCATCAACACCAGCATCAGCATCATCAGCATCATCAGCAGCATCACCATCATCACGAACTCATCATCCTCGTCCTCATCATCATCGTCAGCAGTAGCAAAAAGCATAAGCAGCATCACCACCACCACCATCAGCATCATCATCAGCATCATCAGCATCACCGGCATCATCAGCATCATCATCACCATCATCATCAGCATCCTCATCATCATCATCATCATCATCATCATCATCATCATCATCGTCGACATCATCATCACCATCATCATCAGCATCAGCATCATCATCGTCATAAGTTCCAGCATCATCATCAACAGCATCATCATCGTCATCATCATCGCCAGCATCATCATCATCATCCTTACCAGCATCATCATCATCATAATCATCATCATCATCATCATCAGCATAGTCAGCATCATCATTATCATCATCGTCACCCTGATCATCATCAGCAGCAGCAGCGGCAGCAGCAGCATCGTCAGCATAATCATCAGCATCATCAGCATCAGCATCAGCATCAGCATCATCATCCTTACCAGCATCATAATCATCATCAGCAGCAGCAGCATCATCATCATCATCATCATCCTCATCATCATCATCATCATCATAATCATCATAATCATCATCATAGTCAGCATCATCATCATCATCATCATCATCATCATCATCATCATCATCATCATCATCATCATCATCATCATCGGCAGCAGCATCATCATTATCGGCAGCATCATCATCAGCATCATCAGCATCATCGTCATCACACCATCATCATCATCAGCATCATCATCATCATCAACATCATCATTGGCATCATCATCCTCATGGTCACCATCGTCATCATCGTCGTCTTCAGCATCATCAGCATCAACATCAGGGTCAGCATCATCAGCATCATCATCAGCATCGGCATCATCATCGTCATCATGAGCAGCATCAGCAGCATGGACATCATCATGATTAGTATCAGCATCACCACCATGAGCAGCATCATGTCAGCAGCATCAACATCATCATCAGCATGATCATGATCACCATAATCATCATCATCATCGTCATTATCATCAGCATCATCATCATCATCATTATCAGCATCTTTCTCATCCTCATCATCATCACACTCATCAGCATCATCAGCATCATCAGCAGCATCATCACACTCATCAGCATCACCATCATCAGCATCATCATGAGCATAACCAGCATCATCATCATCACCATCATCATCAGCATCAGCATCGTCATCATCACAATAGCCAGCATCATCAGCAGCAGCATCATGATCATCGTCATCATCATGGTCAGCAGCAGCATCAGCATCAGCGTCAGCATCAGCATCATCATCATCATCATCAGCATCAACATCAGCACCAGCAGCAACATCATCATCATCATCATCATCATCATCATCATCATCATTATAAACATCAGCATCATCGTCATCATCATCAGCATCATCATCATCATCGGCATCCTCATCATCGTCATCATCAGCATCACCAGCATCAGCATCCTCATAATCAGCATCATCAGCGGCAGCATCAACATCAGCATCATCGGCATCAGCGTCATCATGATCATCATCATCATCATCATCATCATCATCATCATCAACATCATCATCATCAGCATCATCATCATCATCATCATCATCGGAATCTTCATCATCATCGTCGTCATCGTCGTTTTCAGCATCATCAGCGTCGCCATCATGAACACCATCATCGTCATCATCACCATCATCGTCGTCAGCATCAACATCGTCGTCATCATCAGCAGCAGCATCATCGTCGTCATCAGCATGATCACCACCACCACCATCATCATCATCATCACCACCACCATCATCATCATCATCATCGTCATCATCGTTACACTCTTCATCATCATTATCAGCAGCATCATCATCAGCATCACCATCACCATCGTCATCATCACCGTTACCATCAGCAGCATCATCATCATGAGCCTGATCATGGTCATCATGAGCATCCTCATCATCGTCCTCATCATCATCATCATCATCATCATCATCATCATCATCATCATTCACCCCTCCTACTGCTGCTCCTCCACCTCATCCTCCTCCTCCTCCTTCTCTTCTTCCTCCTCCTCCCGCCCCCACGAGGGGCTGCGGAGGCGTGGAGAGCGGCGCGCAGTGCGGGACACCCGTCCGAGGTACGCGAGGTCGTTGTACGAGTCCGAGAAGCTTTTGAAGATGTTGGTCGCCCGCTTCTTCGGCTGCCTCCGCCGCGGCGGACGGGCGCGGAGAAGAGGGACGGGGGCGGCGGCGGGCGAGCGGGGTCCGAAGGCGGGCAGCGACACCTCCCATGCACTCGAGGAGCGGGTTTCCTTTGTGCACCGCACCTCAGGGAGCGAGAGGGATGGAAAGGGGGGGAGGGGGAGGAGGAGGAGGAGGAGGAGGAGGAGGAGAAGGAGGAGGAGGAGGAGGAGGAGGAGGAGGAGGAGGAGGAGGTAGGGAGAAAGAGGAGGAGGATGAGGAGGGAGAAGGAGGAGCAGGAGGAGGAGGCGGCGGAGGAGGAGGAGGAGGAGGAGGAGGAGGGAGCCTGGACGTCGCCAGCCCTCGCCCCTCCTGGCCTGCCGAAGCATAGAAGCCCTTTATTCCATCCAGCCAGAGGCAGAGTTGAACTCTCCGCGCCGTGCGCGGGGCCGGGGAGCAACGGTGCGAGGGTCACTAACGGCGCACCGCCGGGCAGTCCCCACTCGCACCGCGCCCCCCGCTGGGTAGACAAACCCACGCCTGTACTTCCGCCCACGGTTTATCGCAAGGCCTTCTTCTGGGCCAGCTGTGTCTGGGCAAGCTTTGAGGAACCTGGTGGCAGGCCTTGCTGTAACCTCCTCAATTGTAGCTTGCCATAAGCATTCAGCTTGGTCGTACAAGGACCAGCTAATTTCCTGACGGCCTGAGTGGCTACACAGCCACAAGAAAGACATACCGTGCTCCCGAACTCCTTGTGATAAGCCAAGGTGTGGGAGCTATGCAGGTCTTTGCCGTTCACGGTGCTCTTAGTTGGCACCATGATCATACCCCTGAAAAGGCCCTGGTGGCATGGGGTGGCCAAAAACTTGTCGGCCATCTTGTATGGCGCGCAACCTCCACAGCAGTGACAGCGGACCTGGGAACCTATCCCCCAAACAGGCTGGTGAGCAGTCAAGAGCAGCTGGATTTTGATCTCCCTCCTCTTCGGCCGCAAGGCCGATTCTCTAGGAGCACGGAAACCATCGGCCTCGATGGAGGCCATCAAACTGTGACCGAGGTGCTGGCGGACCTGGAAAGCAATCGCCTGGGCGTGGGACCTGGTGTCCCTGACTGCGTGCGAAACTCTAATATCCTTAGCCCACTGGTCCGCTATTCGGTCAGCGAGATCATTCAACAGAAAAAACAAGGGGTCGGTTCCCTGGTCGCTGACTTCTTCTACCTTACGGTGGCTTTCAACCTTGGCTAGCACCACAGATCTGTTCGGATGCTCAGCCATCAAAAGTTTGACAGCCTGCCACACGTCAAGATGAGACTTGGGGTCTATCCCCATTCGGACTTTGCTGAAATTCTTAACCACATAGCTCGAGTCCGTCACAAAAAAGGCATCCGCAACAGGGAGGACAGCTTTGAGAAACTGCAGGAAACTGAGAGCTTCCCCCCTGTTGACCGACTGCCTCCATCCAGGCACATTCCCAAACATGACTGTCTGGGCCTGGAGCTCACTAGGGTCATAAACACACCCCTCACGTATGCCCTGGAAAACAACCCAAGACCAGGCAACTCTACGGAGGGCTGGGTCCTGGGTGTCAGGCCCCCCGCTGGCATCTCCTCCACCGAAAACGAAACCATCCACCACCGCCTCCCTCAAGTCACCCCCGAAGGTCTGGAACTCCTCACCGTCGGGGGGAGGGGGCACGGCGGTCCAGCTGCTAGGCGTCAGCCCCCGCAGCCAGAAGCTGGGATTACTCTCGCAATCAGCTAAAGCTCGTCTCCGAACGAAATCAGAGACCTTAGAGAAATCATTATTCTTCGGGCAGCTCCAAGCCCTGTGCAAATCACACTCGACCAACTCCCCACATCTTTTGCAGGAGCTGTCCTGAGTGAGCCCACAATCTTGGAGCCTCGCGCGTGGCCAACTATTGCCCATGGCCACAGCCCGCAAGATGCCCCTCCATTCAAACTTACCCTTCCTAGCAAGCGTGCGGAGCTGCCTCTTAAAGTCTGTGAGGTCTGGGACCTGCTCTAGCCCAGCCCCGTTCCACGAGTTCACAGCAGCAGCTTCCCAGAGCTGCCGTTCTTTGCTCTGGGCCAGAGCTTCAAACAGGTCAGCTAGATCAACCTTGCCTTGCCCGAGCTTGGTTTCTGAAATCGCGAACCGCTCACCCAGGTCGCTCTCCCAGGCCCAAGGACCCCAAGGTTTCCAGCCCACGTCCAGCAGAGTGGCAATCGTGGCAGCGACAGGAGTGCCTATGCTGTGCCTGCTGGCTTGAAAGCTCTCGCCAGACCCTTCGGGTCTTGTCAGCATCAAAACTGCGTGGTCAAAATCTGATCCTCGACGTGTCAAACATCGCGAAAAAGGCTGGGTCGATCGTGTCTCGCCTGGGTCACGTCTGCCGTACTCCAGCGCTAGCAGAGTGGTCAGGCACCTCCCTCCTTTCGCGACACCCCCCGTGAGCCTCCCAAGAGCCCGCCTCCAACCAAGAACGACGGAGGGAGGTGTACCATGGACCTTATCCGAGTACCTAGTCTTGGAAAAGGCCGAGGTCAAGGCCATCTTGCGGGCCCATTTCTTGCACCAACGATTGCCCCGAGCCAGCTTGCCAAGACGCTGTAACCTACGCTCGGCCCCGGCTCTCCTGCTGGCTTGCTTGGGCCTGGATGCCCTGACTCGGCCTCGGTCTATGCCTAGATCCGCAGCAACACTCTTGGCCTGCACGCGCACTCCTTGGTCGGCGAAGAAATCCTTGAGTCTCGCAGCCAAGGGACCCGAGGACGAAATGATGGCCGACTTGGGAGCAATCTGGAGTTTGATCGCGCGCAGGCCGTGGACCAATTCCAGGCCCACCTTCGAGAGCTCACAAAAAACTCTCTCACTGTCACCATACATGCATTGCACTACGTCATCTACCCAGGTGTGCAGTGTTGGTAGAGGTCTGCCCGTGGCTATCTTACTGCAGACGAAATGCAGGGCAGCTCTACCTAGGTCGACCGCACCACTGCTGCCTGGGATCAAGGACATTCCTGGCTGCACCGCAAGTGAAAAACCTCCAGCCTCTCTCAAAAACCTGGCAGCCATGTGGACCTGGAGCTCCAGGGCCAAATAGCAAGGGGGAAAGTCGAGCTCTAGAGCGTGCTCCAGGACAAGATCCCAGCGGAGGCTGTCGTAGAAACCTTTAACATCCCAGAGCAGACTCGCGCTCTGGTGGTCTGGCAGACTAGAGTGAGCAGCCTGCTCATCCCTGAACAATCTGAGCAGCGCGGCCTGCAGGGCTGAGTTTCCTGCCAGGGCCGTGTCCCACGGTCCTGCTCGCTCCTTGGTCCAACCAGCTCGGTCCGAGGTACGCAAACGCCCCCAGAAGCGGACAATCCAAGCAAGCAGGCCAATCGCACGGTCGGAATCCACGTCTTTGACCTGGAGCGTGACTAAAACAACTAGGGCCTGCCAAGGCCAGCTGACCCTTTGCTCCACTAGGTTATAGAAATCCGCCAGCTGCTGGAGACCCAGCGGCGGCAACCACTGGAAATCTTTCTTGGCCAGCCTATCAACACCAGGCGCTTTTTCAGGCAGGGCCGAGATGACCCTACGGAGCCAGTCGGCTCCAAGCGGGGGCCGCGGGTTCTGCTTGGCCCTGGCCTGGGCCTTCTGCCAAAGAGCTCGGACCCTGGGAAAACTCAAGCTGTCTCCTGCCCACTTGCGCGACCATATGTCGGCCTTCACGGCCATCCTCTGACAAGAGTCCAGAGCCGTCACCCCCCGAGCCCTAACCTCCCCCACAAACACCGACTTATCCCTTATACGGTTATACAGACCTCGACCTCCAGCCTGGTCCTGCTGCATAACCCACTGGTGGAAATAGGTTAGGGTATTATTCAAAACAGCTCTCTGCGCTCGCACCGAATTCTGCTTGGCTCTAACTTCGAAATCTCTGATCGTCTGGTCCGAAGCTTCTCTGAGAACACGAAGGCCACGGACCCATTCAGCGCGAGTTCTAGCAGGGAGAGGCAGCGCGGCAGAAACAGGCGTTGATGCTGCCATATCCCTGAGTCTGTCAAAGAGCCTACTCGGCCTGTGCTTGGTTCGGTCGCCCAGGGAACCCACCAGATCAGAGAGCAGAAAACTAACCGTGGCCCACCAATGGGCCACAGGATCCCGAGACGACACGAAATGGGCTCCCTGGGCCTCAGGTCGCTTCTGCAATTCCTTTAAAACCGCACGGCCCTTAAATCTCTGCTGATCTTTCGGATGCACATCTAGCATGGCACAGAAAAAACCCTCGAAGCGTGCAACCCAACCTGCGAAGGCTGCTCCTACATGCATGGCCGCGTCCACGTCCAAGTTGTATGCGAACGAGTCCCTTACGTAGCTGGGCACCTTCGCGGGGTCCACTGGATGCTGGAGAGCCTCCCACAGGTGGTTTTGCTGTTCCTGACCGATCGTGAGCAGGGGGTGACCCTCCGCGTCCTGCGTCATGGTGTCATCTGAACCTCTGGTCTGCCCAGGATTCGCAGCGGCTACCCCCTCTAACTCCTCGTCGGCCTCAGGCTCTCCTGGTTCCTGGTGCTCTTCATCTGGCTCATCTGGTTGCTCATCAGAAGCTTCGTCAAACTCAATTCCCCAGTCATTATTAGTGAGGTAGACGACAGGTGGCGGCATCTTGAATCCAATCAATTTGCGTCGTAGTGGAACAGGTGGTGCTGGAACCTCCGGCTGTGCTGTCTCTGCCTGCTTCAACTTCAGCTTCCTCGAGCGCTTGCTGGTGGGGTCCTTCTGCTTCTTGGGCACAGACGGATAGACAAATCGTTCTGGTAACTGAAGCACCCACCTCCAAGCTTGATCGAGTTTCAGCCTTAGACTGAGATGCAGACCAAAGTGTGCCTTACCTCCTTCGAAACATGCCGTGTCGTCCACCTTGAAACTATCAACGAACCTTACCATTGACTCCGATAACACCATGAAATCTATCAATCTCTTCTTTCCCAAGGTACACGTATAATCTGCTCCATCAGCTGTGCGAATGATGCCATCGACAAGCTTGGGCCAGCCCACCTTGACTAACTCCTGCGGCTCTGCATTGAAGTCTCCTATGGCCAGCCAAGGCGTGCGCAAGCATTGTATCAGCTGGCCCATCTGGATGAGCTTGTCTATGTTGGTGCCAGCCAAACCTATGCCAGCGGTGAGATACACTCCGATGATCGTGACGGCCTGGCCACCTATCTTCAGCTGGAACGCTACCAGGTCCTTGAAGTCTATCCCCTGTTGCTTGGTGAAATCTGGCTCGTCTAACATCCTGAGTCCCAGCTGCTGGTCCTGCTTGTTGGCCAGATGGCGAAACGTCTGGAACTGGTACCGCTTCAAGACTCCTGCCGAGATACCTGCTGCTCGCTTCACTCCTTGAGCTTGGTACGATGGGGCAACCAATGCTTGGTAACCAGCTCTATCCCACTCATGCAGGACCTCCTGGCACTCTTCTGGCAGGCGATGAAGCTCTGGAAAAATGAGAATATCGTGAGCCCTCTCCTTCAGCAGCTCCTTGGTCGGGTATCCCCATCCAGAGAGATTGCGCATGTACAAACTCTTCACGTCACTGGCCCCAACATCAGGAACACGTCCCCCCTCCCTGACCCGCGCTTGCCTTGTAGCCCCCCACCAAGGCCTCCACCTCGCGCTCGAGGCGGGCCTGCTGTGGGTCCAGGCTGCCGCTTCCTCCAGCGGCCGCGGGCTGGGGAGGCGGCCTCTGGCCATCTCCTGGGTCAGGGCCTGGGGGAGACGGCGCTGATGCTGGTGCCCCACCTCCTGAGCCAGCTGCTTCAGCTTCCGCTGGAGCCTCTGGCGCCTTCCGCTTCTTCCGCGCCCGCTCCACGACGTCTGCGAGACGCGCCTTGTGCTCGTCGATCCTCGCCTGCAGGGCCCCGTACGACGCCTGGACCGCCTCGGACAGTGCCTTCTGCAGCTGCTGCTTGGCCTCGTCCAGCACCTTGAGGTCTTCCTCCTGCACCTCGAGACCTGACAATGACTCGAAGTTGATCTCCAGGTCCAGTTTGCCGTCCAGGACCTGCTGCACGTCGACTGTGGCCGCCGCCTTCGTCGGGAGCTGAGGGAGGAACTGCTTGGCTGCCGCAATCTCCTCTCGCTCAGCTCGGTGTACTTCCTCTGTGGCCTCCTTGAGATCCTTCTCGCTCTTCTCCAAGTCCCTTTTGTGGCGGATCCACGCAGCCTTGACCTTGTCCAACTGCTTCCTGGCTCTGTTGACGCGGGCTGTGGCCTGCTGCAGTCCCTGTCCTGGCTGCAGCGGTGGCTTGGGGGCGGGCGCCTCCAGCTCTTGCAAGATCCCCTGAGCCGCCCCTTGGACCCGTTCTGGCAGAAGTGCGGCCAGTCGGCGGAGCTGTGCTGCTGGAGATTCGCTTTGGGCCTGCTGCTGCCCACCACCGCCACGAGACCAACCAGGATGAGGAGAGACAATATCTTCATCAGAGAACTGACCACCACACACACACGTCCAATTCTTCGACTTGAGACGGTCCTGGAAGAGTTTCCTGCCGCAACTGCTGCACTCCACCATGGGCCGTCCCTTACGGTTTCCCCACCAGCCCGACCTGGACGTACCGCTGCCGGGCTGGAAGGTCTGCTGTCCACTCGGCAAAGGTGGGTGACCGTGCCACAGGTCTTCCTCATCGATCCGTCCTTTTCCTTTCCCATTGGCCTTGATCCAAGGGTTGTAGAGAAACTTATTGTGCCACGGCGCATTGCGCTGCACAACCATCTGCGTGCCGTAACTGTGCCAAAATCTTGGGGCTAGCCCCAATACAATACACAGATATGAGCTGTTGGGGCCGCGTGCGTCTCTGGGACGCCCCCTTGCCACAATACTCTCGTCCGCGCTGCAGGACCCTGAGCCACCGCTACGGACTTGAGCCAAAATGGCTACGGATTAAGCATAGAAGCCCCACCAGATTCTACACGAGAGGACGGCATCATCTGGCAAGACATCCGCACTCTCCCCGATGCTGACACGATCCGCCTGCACAACACTGTGGCCGTTGCATTCCCAGCGACCGATGGCTGGACCACGCCTTCGACGGGTGGCGGCTGAGGGGGAGGTTGTGGCAGGCTGACCCCCCTCCACTCCCTCAAGAGGCTTCCCCCCCGCCTCCAAACAAGCCTCACGGAGGCCGTCCCAGCACTCGGGCTCGAACTCGAAAGCGGCATCCGAGGTCCCAGCAAACCCCTGAGAGTCCACAAGCCCCGAGTCCGCAGACACTCGCTGGGCCCTCGCGTCCCATCTGGTGGCTGCCACAGCCATGCCCTCGAGCCCCTGGATAAACAAAACTTGCTGCGTAGGGGCCTGCCACGGCGTAGCCCCTAAGTTGGCATATCTGTCAGCAGCTGCCTCCTAACTTGGCATAATCATAAGGCGCGAGTTGCCCTCTGATTGGTGACTCTTCACATTACTTACAGAAGCACGATGGCCAACACCACCCGCCCCCCACAAGTCACGCCAGAAATGCTGCCCGGCTTGCATCACAGACAGGCCAGCCCCAGGGTCCCGAGCACACGAGATAGAAGCGGGACAGTCTGAGTACACATGCAGGGGCATTGTCAGGATCCCACTCGCTGTGGGTGGCCACAAAAGAAAAGGCCATGCCATCACCGTCTCTCGCCCAGTGCCGCAGAGCAAAGAGCAAGGGCACGACCCATAGCAAGCCTCTGCAACAGTGCCTGCCGGGTCAATCTGAACGATCGAGAAGCCCGCACGACTGATTCCTGACATAGTGGTGTGATAAGCCAAGCCATCGACAAACACATCTCCAGAGAACGCCACTCGGCTGGCACCTCTCCCATCAAACCTTGACATCGGGCTCAATTTGGGGAAAGCACCAGCGGGGGTAGGGGCACGGGCATCTGCAGAACAATTATCCATGGGCCTCGTTCCTGCTGTGGACCGTCTAAGCAGCCTCCGAAAAGGTGGGCATTCCTCCCTACGCACTTACTCGAGGCAGGGACAGTGACAAAACCTGTAATGCAAGGTCCCCCGCTCCCAACAGCACTTGCATCTGTCATCTTGATTGTCCTGGTGCGCATGCAGTCTAGCTTGAGTCCAACAAAAGCTCCCAACGAGGCTTGGAATTATACTCTTGTGAGGTTGGCTCCAGGTGTCGCTAGTCGCTTTGCTGAGCAACCGCTCGAGAGGACTCCAGTGCAGCTGGCTGACCTAACCTCCTGTCACACGGCCGAGACTCCAGATGTCCGAGGCAGCAGACGCTGCTTCACGCACGAGGTCGCACATAAAACGCGCACTAAACTCAAGCGCAGAGTACCAGGGTAGAAGAGGCGGCGCTGTGTGGACAGTGGCACAACGCCGCCCTCCTCCTCCTCCTCCTCCTCCTCCTCCTCCTCCTCCTCCTCCTCCTCCTCCTCCTCCTCCTCCTCCTCCTCCTGCCACGACGCTGGGGAGGGAAGCGAGGGCGAGAGGCACGAGAGGGCAGCAGATCGGGAGGGGCGAAGCTTGACTCTCGTGCCGTCGGCTGCAACGCTGGGCATGGCAGCAGGAGGAGGAGGAGGAGGAGGAGGAGGTGCGCGAGGATGGAGCGGGAGCTGTGATTGTGGACATCATCGACGCCCAAGGGAGCGCAACGCAGGCGTCACCTGCTACAGGCCAGACAGCACAGGACGGCGCGAGAGTCGGCTGAAAGGCCAAGCCCCACAAACGAGTCGGCGACACTGTGGAGGCTAAGCACTTTGGGGAGCATGTTGACGGAGCTTTGCTGGAGCTGAGCGCGCAGTCCGCCAGAGCACGCTGGACGGGCGACCTGTGCTGTGGCAAAACGCCTCCATCGAGTCCCCGCTGCTTCCCACCGCGGCGGGATTCTGATAGCGTGCTGGCCAAGCACTTCCTGCGCAGAATTCCACAAGCAGGAAAACCACCCGCCGTCTTCAGCTACAGTACTGGGGCGTGCCAGTGAGAGAAGAGTGGGCAGTCGACAGGCAGAGCACGCAGCGACGACGATCTGCAGTGCAGAGCCGTGGTGCGAGAAAATCGCAAGCTACGACGGCATCTTGATCTAAGCTTACATGCCACTACAAATACTTCAACCTCCCCTTTTCATCCCGTTCTCCGACGGCATCGACGCCCTCCTCCCTCCCTTCCCTTCCCTTCCTTCTGGCGGCGATGCAACTACCCACTACGGTTCCAGGGCGGAGGCCGTCTTAGTAATGGGGTGGTCTGTGGAGGCGCGCGCAGGCGCGGGCGTAGTAGTCGGATGGGGGGGGAGAGGACGGGGGGCGGGGAGGATAATGAAAAAGGAAGGGAAGAGGCCGAGGAGGAAGCGGAGGAAGACACGACGGCTGGGGGGAGGAGGAGGAGGAAAAGGAGGAGGAAGGGGAGGAGGAGAAGGAGGAGGAGGACGACGACGACGACGACGGAGACGACGACGACGACGACGACGACGACGACGACGACGACGACGACGACGACGACGGCGAGGAGAGCGGGGGAAGATGAAAAAGGACGGAGGAGGGCGAGGAGGAGGAAAGAGGACAGGGAAGAGGGAAGGGATGAGGAGAAGTAAGACGAAAGGAGGATATTTGAGAAGGACAAGGCGGAGGGGGGAGAAGAGGAGGAAGGTGAAAAGTACACACCAAAACGCCCACGTAATCCATGCTCTTGCGAACCGAAGGTAGGCGGCAAGCAGACGGGCCTTCGCTTGGCAGCATCGGATTCGCCTGGGGGGCGCCTCATCCTTCTTCGCCCATGTCGTCATTTTCTGTTATTTGGCATTATGTTCCTTATCTTTCCCCCTTCCTCCTCCCCCTTCCTCCTCCTCCTCCTCCTCCTCCTCCTCCGCCTCCTCCTCCTCCTCCTCCTCCTCCTCCTCCTCCTCCTCCTCCTCCACCTTACCTCCTCCTCTTCATCCTACTAATCCTCTTCCTCCTCCTCCTCCTCCTGGTTCCTGGTACTTGGTGGCTGCAAGCTCCTCTGAATGCAGCCTCCCCCCCCGGGCCAGTCGGCCCCGGGGGGGGATCAAACTGGTGCCACGTGACCCGTGGAACACCGCTCCACGGGCCACCGGCGGCGCACGCGAATGTTCATGGGAGGCAGACAGACAGACAGACGAGGAAAGGAAGGGAGAACAGGAACAGGAACACATGCATCAAAACCACCCACCTCGAAGGGGGGAGGAAGGAGGTAGGGAATTGATGCGGCGGCTGCGGCTGTGGAGAGAGAAGGAACACGTGCAGCGAAGGAGTGGACGATGCGGGGGCCCTGGAGCCCAGTACTGGATTCTCCCGTGTACGGGTCAACTATTGGGCCATCGCCCTTGGGTGAGTCCTGGATCCCCTTCCGCGGAAGTGCCCATCCTAAAGGCTGGGGAGGGGGGGGATGCCTGGTGGCATCCTCACCTGCTGCAGGTCACCGACGTTGTGGCCACGCACACCCGCGGCGAAGACGGCGTTGCGCATGTGGTTGCAGCATGCATCCGTGCTGTTAAGCGTCGAAACACTTGGAAATGGCGAAAGGGGGGCGGCCGCAGGCAAACGGAAAATAATTGGGGCGGTTGAAGGCGCAAGGTGAGGAGGTGGCGAACGCGGCAGGCTGAGACGGAGGCGAAGCGGCTAGGCGCGCAGGTGGAGGCGCGAGAATAGGCCGAGTAGGCGGCGGCCGCCCTGCACACCCACGGCCTGGGGGAAGGCGCAAGGGCCTCTCCATCTGCTCATGGACACTCCCCGCAAGCGCCCCCGAAGCAAACGGCGGGATCCCTCGCCTGCAAGCAGGCGCGGGGCTCCCAGCACGCATGCCTCGGGGCCGCCCGGGGGGCTTCCACCGGGCGAGATGGAGGTCTGCGCCTCCCTGCCCGCGGCAGGGCGCCACGCTCGCCTGTAGCTCGCGTCCGCCCACACTCGCCAGATGGGACGGCATAGAGGCCCCCCCACTGCAACTTGGACTTCCCCCGAAATGCCCCCCACCCCCGCGACCGACACCCCCCATGCCGAGCAGCAGTAGGGCACCCGGATCGCGGAGGCGGGGGGCGCTTTGGGGGATTTCCAACGCGCGCGGGGGAGGTTCATGTTTTCCGCGGCGGCGGCGGGCGAACGCGGCTCCACCCACCCCGCCGCAGAATCCTCTACCCATCCCCCCCGCCGGCGACGCGGCAGGCGATCAAGGTCGCGACTGCATGAGACGCATGCTGTGGCCAGCTGAGGTCGGGGGGAGACTGAGACGCGCGCTGGGCGCTGCCCAGCACGTGGACACAGCCGCCCTGGCCCTTGCCAGCGCAGCCAGCGGTGAGAAAGCACCGCCCCCACCCCCTGCACATCCACCCGAACCGCCCCTTCCCCCGCCACAAGAGAGGGGCGGCGGGAGGACGGCGAGGTGAAGCCGGGGGCGGGGCCTCAAGAAGGCGAACCTGGGGGGGGCGAAGGTTGGAAGTTGGCGGAGGCCTTCACGTGACTCGCGCCTGCAAGGGCCCACATGTCACTTGCGTCGATGGACGCAGCCCGCGCGGGTGAAACAGCCCGTTCGGGGACCCACATTGGCACATCAACGTGAGCTGTGCCGCGCGGCCGGGGGCATGACTCGCAGCTGCCGCCAAAGTTGAGACAAGCGGCCTAAATTCCGCATGCTGCCGTTGGAGAGAAGGCTCGGCGGAATTATAACTAGCTGCGCCGGCGCCGACGACGACGGCGAGCACGCGCGCTTCGGCGTCAGGACAGTGGCGAGATGAGGAAAAGGCATGGAGCAGCTGGTGCGACGTCATGTCTGCCTCGGAGCAAAACTCATCAAAACTGAAATCTGAGGTGGCGACGCACTGGCGGGCCGCCGCTCGGCCGGCCCCATCTTTCGGCTGGCGCCACGGGGTTGTTGGCGATCAGGGGGAAGTCCCCTGATTCACCGTGGAGTCGTTGTCGAGTTGGTCGGGTTGGCACGCGACTTCGCAAGATCGCCACGGCTGCCACCATTTCTCTTCTTCGGTCGTCGTGCCCAGATCGGCGTTGTCAGCCTGCGCGGGTCGTTGGCGTTCGCAAGTCTGCAAGTTGGCTTGGATTGATTGGGTCGACGGTTGGCGTTTGGTCGGCATGGTCGGTGATCGAAGCATGGAAGTCCGCCCGCGTCTGCTGGTGGTCGTTGTGAGCCAGTGCCAGCTAGGCGCATGCCTTGTGGTCGTGGGGCTGCGGAGGGTTAGTCGCCTCTTCCGCGGCGGACTGGGCTCGCTGCTCTCCCCAGGTCACGAGTTGAACGAGAGCTTCCTCTACGCGGTTGAGCCTCGCAATGGTGGTGTCGAAGCTAATATTACCATCCAAGATTGCTGGTTGCTTTGACGGATTTTCCTGGTGATGTTGATCCCCGTACGAATTGGAGCTCGCGCCTATGCTGGGCTGGTTGCGGTCGGTTGGGCCTTGCGGTTGGTCCGCTGAAGCGCGGCGCCGCGTCTCGCCCACCGGTGGCTCGGCGGCCCAGTCAGGGCCCCGGGCGTCCATCAGTTCGCTGATCTTCTCGATGGCGGCTTCAACTGTGTCCCGCTGTACGCTAGTTCCGTAGAGTGGCACGGGCTGCGAAGTGGGGTTGTAGCGCATGCCCAGTTTGATTCGCATGAGCAGGCTGCGACGCTGGTAGTTCACCGCGGCTGGCGTCGGCACATCGTCGCAGTGGTCGCCGATCTGGCACATTAGCACCGTTGCCAGCTGATGGTCGACGAAGCGGGCGAGCACGGCCCGATCGTGCGCCATCAGGAAAGGGCTGCTTCCAGTAGCCCCTCGTACCTGAGGACGCAGTTGAGCGACGCGTCGACATTGCTCTGATCATATCACACTCGATAAGCACGCTGTGATAATCGTCCCCAACGGTGCAATTGCCCCAATGTTGCTCATGCCGTCGATGTCTCTGCGGTCAGCTTGCGGACGTGGATCTTGAAGAGCGGAAAATTCGGTCGTAGGCGCAGTTGCTGATGTGGTTGGTCAGCCGTGCGATCATGTCTTGTCGCCTTTGGCTGGGGTCGGATCCAGATGTCACCCCGCGCGGTGGCCGCTCGGTCGGTCACCCCGCTTTCTCGCAGAGCGTGTCCATGCGGGGTCTGGCGAGCGCCTCGACTTCGATAGCGGGCCCCTCGTCGCGGGCTGTCTCGGCGTGGCTCCCGTTTCCAATTGACGCGCTTTGCTGCTCGATGCTCAGTGGCGGCGTCTTGGGCGGCGGCTTGGATGCAACGCCCCCCGGCAAGGCACGCAGCGCTGCGAGGCGCCAGCTGAGGCACCGCCACCCCCAATTGACGCGCTGCGCTGCCTCCGCAAACTCACTGGCCAACCGGTGACGAGTGGCGCCTTGTAGCGCGGCCCGAGCACAGCAGCGGGAGCCGCTCCGCTGGCCGTCGGCACCGCTGTGGTCAGAGTCCGTGTCGCCGTTGAAACTGACGCCCAGTTGCCATCGCGCTGGGGGGTCGACTGCGGTGGCGGGGCCCGTTGGATCTCCGCGATAATCCTCAGTTGCCCCTCCTTGGCCGCGAATATGTCAACCCGGAAAGCGAGGAGCTGGTTCGCGAGTTGGCTCCCAGGGATGTCGGGCTGCGCGAGCTCCGTCTCCTCGTCGTCGCTCAGGCCGGCTGTGCTACCCTTGAGGATGTCGACACTGCACCTGCATCCGACGTCGTCGCGGCACCTCGCAATGGTTTCGTCGAGGGCGGCTACGTCGACGTAGTAAGACCTCCGTTGGCGCGAACGGCGGCGGCGGCGGCTGACCCTGGCCGCGCGTCGCCATCGGCGGGCTGCACATGCGGTGGTCGTTGAGGACATAGAAGCATTCCACGTTGCTTGCGGATAAAACATACTTCCAGCCTCACCCCAGTAGCGCGTTGCCTGGGTCACCCCGCGTAGATTCTCTGGCACCCAGGTTGTAATCGCACACCTGGGCGCGCCAGTTGTCGGGGGCGCCCTCGAGAGGGCGCGCGGCCCACGGCTTCGGCAAAGGAGGTCGGCGTCGCGGCGGCAAAGGGAGCCCGCGGGGGCGGCGAGCCGCCTCCTGGAGGGCCTGCGCCAGCGCGCGGACGCCCCAGGTCGCGTAGCTCGGCAGGTAAAACGGAGGCGGCGGGCCGTTCGGCGGCGGCGGCCCGCTGGCAGCACCACCCTGGCTTGTCGATTGGTCGGCGATGACCCGATTGGTGGTCCTCGGGCGTTTGGGCCGTGCTTGCCGCGGTCTGGGCTGGCCTACTTTTGCAATTTGGTCGCTGAGCACGCAAAGTGCGACGCCTCTTGCTGGCGCGCGCTTCGCAAAGCCATTCAGGTCGACAATCACCTCGTAGTCGTCGTTGATGCCGGTGTAGAAGTCGTTCCTCATCTCGGCTAACACTCTCTGCCCCTCCGAGCGCCGCTGGAAAGGGATATGCGAAATGCGGTCGTGGATGTCCCTGGCCGGCGTCTTCGCGCAGCCGTGGACCACGATCTCCGTCGGCCCCTCCTACAAGGCGGGCACTGGGAGCAGCGGTCGGGCGATGGCGCGCGCCTCTCGGAGTGAAGTCACGTCCGTGGTCTCGCGGCGCCCTGCAGTGGCCGCCATCGCATGCAACGTCGGGTGGTAGGCGCCAACGCTACTGGAGGCGATCGTAGCTTGCCGCTGCATGGCGGCCCTAGCTGGAATTCGCACCTCTCCGAAACTTCGCTGCAGTTCCAGGCCCACTTTGTGCGGCGTGGCCTTTGGCTGATCCGACGTCATCGGACCCGTCAATAGGTTTCATGTC